CTGGCCAGACGGGTGCTTTGTACTTACTTAATGAACGCTTTGTTCATAATCTTATACTCGGACTCTCACGAAGTTTGCTCTCACCGCAATACACATACGTAACTACTGCACTGATTACTTCACACTGATGTTCTCGTCTTCTAGTTATACTTCCTCGCTTTCGGTTTTCACTGTCCCTCTTGTAATGTTTTTGCGCAATACACTACCCACTACGCGTCTTGGGTGCATGACGGGCGACCGTCTCCTTCCTGCGCGACAGCCAGACTGCGGCACGTGAACGACGGTCGTTGCGACATTCGGGAGGCGACATGGGCCGCCCCGTAGCCGCGACCTTCGCAGGTTCATAATACCGTGACAAAAACGAACCCACGCTCGTGGCGGCGGCGACTTTCTCTCCGGCTGGCGATCTCTTCACGTACACGGCCCCCACGTCAACTTCGCAGCATGTGGCACGTTCGCGAGCCCGGGAGGGGCTCGGTATAACATGCGAGCCTCGGCGATACACTCCACAATCTCTCTGTCTACCTCCACTCTCTGCTACATGTTTGATAAGTGAGTCACGCCACAGCGGTTAGTCCCATGTCGTAACGCGATGCATCCTGGCGCGTACGCTACGGCCTCGAGATGCCGAACCCGTACATTCGTCTTATGTACCCTATCCGACGCGCGCGATTGAATGCGGGACCGAACTCGCCGTCGAGCGAGAGCAATACCTCAATTGGAAGCGAAAACGTCGGAGGCATAAGGCGCCGCGTTCACCTAGCTCCGGGATTAGGAAGATTCACAAGCCTAGTCGCCCTTCTTACTCCTGTCATCTATAGAAAGTGATGATACAATCAAAGAAGAAAGAAAAGAGCACATGTTACTCCTTTCGGTTCGTCCTGACTTGCCCCTACTTGACTCTCGGTAAAGAGAAGTATACTCTCTTTTGTTTTCACGATCCTCTGGAGAGAGCGTAACATACTCTTCGAAAAGAATTCAAATGTCTCTTTAAGGACTTGCATACACTGAAAAAACTCCTGCCGTGGTGGTCTAGTGGCTAGGCACTCGGCTGCTGACCCGCAGGTCGCGGGTTCGTATCCCGGCTGCGGCGGCTGCGTTTCCGATGGAGGCGGAAATGTTGTAGGCACGCGTGTACTCAAATTTGGGTGCACGTTAAAGAACCCCAGGTGGTCGAAATTTCCGGAGCCCTCCACTACGGCGTCTCTCATAATCATATGGTGGTTTTGGAATGTTAAACCCCACATATCGATCGCTAAACCCCACATATCGATCGCTAAACCCCACATATCATTCAATTACCCTGAAAAAAAAATCGAGTATAAGGGAGGTGTTTCTGCTACACAAAACAGTAGTCGTCTTCTACTTCGAGTACTTTTCTCTCGTTATCACCCCGGCTCCGGTAGTACGCGGTCGCGATCGGCGCGCCCATTATCAGTTGAGACATAGCGTTTCCGACAGGAAAGTGGCCAGTGCCGGAGTTTCAAGAAAGGAAACGCGAGCAAGTCAGATGACGAATATTGTTGTGCAGCAGAACTGCTCCCCAGATACTTCGTTTTTTCTTACGATGTATGCGTGGCAAACGAAAACTAGCAACAAACTGGGTAAACGGACTTTTTTATTTTTTCTTCTTAGAGTGTATAGTAAATCGAATTCCGTGATCTTGTATAACTTAAACTTTCAAAGTTTGTCAGTGGGCTACGTTCGCTGTACACTCTAGGAAAAAAGCCGGTGTTTGGGGATTCAGTATTTCTGCCACGCAACAACTATCGTCATCTACTTCGCGTACTTTCCTCGTGTTATTACTGCGATTCCGTTGCACCGGGTTTTTTTTTTTTTTTCAAAAAAGTGAGCGAGTTAACTGACTAACATTTTTGCGTGGCAAAACTACTCCCCAAATACTATTTTTGTGTGTGCGTGTAGAGAAAAAAAAACGTTAGCACCTTTCGAAACCTACGCTGTTTATCCCTACTATATTTTTTTGCCAGTTTTGCTTGCGCTTCTTTCATTCATCACTCTGCACTCGCGATTTTCTTACCAGTGCATGCCTATGACGCTTCTACGTGCGTGTGAACTGTTCTGTACGATACTCATTTGTTCACCATTGCTTGTTCTACGGTTCCACCGATTGTTCCACGGTTGTTACACACCACATATATCGAGGGATTCTTGCTGCGATGGTTAAGATCTTTCTCAGAGCTAGATAGAGAGAGAGAGAGAGAGAGAGAGAGAGAGAAGAAAGAAAGAAAGAAAGAAAGAAAAAAAGAAAGAATCAAAAAAGAAAGGCAGGAAGGTTAACCAAGCTAGGCTTGGTTGACTACACTACGGGTGGGGGAGCAGGAAAGGGAGAAGAAGTGACTATTGGAGCAATAGACGTAACATTTGGGGTGTATTCTGTGATTTACCACTTCAGGTTGCACCACAACCACGCGTTCAATAGGCATGGTTCTACACGAAGACGACGCAGGCGGACGCAGTGGAACCATTTTTGGTATTATTTTTTTTTTGCGTTTGTACGCGCGTGCGCCAGTCCGTGGTAGTGAGTGTGTTCAATTATTAAAGTGACAGCTTTATTAAGACGAACAACGATGTATATAGTGCGACTGAATGCCCCGTTGCGGTGGTCTTTAGTGGGTGAAGTACTCGGCTGCTGACCCACAAGGGGAGGTGTCGAATCCCAGCTGCGGCGGCTGCATTTTCCATGGAGGCGAAAAGTCTGTTGGCCCATGCGCTCAGATCTAGGGTGCACGTTAAAAACCCTAGGTGATTGAAACTTCTGGAGCTCTCTACTATGGCGTCTCTCATACACATATAGTGGTTTTGGGACGTTAAACCATAAACATCATAGAGTGCGACTGAATGTTTCACACAAAAAAGACGTAGAGATTCCCATCATACAGTAGGCTGACAAGGCACTCTAATAGTACACGTGGCCCCTTTCAACGTCGTGCATGTTAGGCGTCACTGTTTTCAAAGCACTCGAACATACTAAGGCTCATTTGGTGCATCACGCTGACGTCACAACGTGTTTGCATAGTGTTCAGAGATGGCGGCCGAAACTGTGTTCTCACCGACAACGAAAAGATCTTTCCTTAAGCAAATACTCGAGAAGAGTTTTCAATCTTCTTCCCTGCTGAAAGGATTTGGCAACATTGCGCAAGAGCGCGGCTGTCGTCTTGGTTGTTCTTCGCATTGCAAGCACGCTAGCAATGCTTCGCGAACACCATTTGAGCCACATTCTGAAAGAGATGGTCTACGTGCTGTTGCAGCAAACAAGAACATAGCACGGCTTGATTAATGTGCGTAGTGTCATTGAACTTTCTTGTGGCGAGCGCACTAGGAGGAAACTTCTGCACAAAGATTTGTTTGTTTTTTTTTTAAGTCCAGCGCAAAAATACAAGCGAATGTCTCCTGTTTGGGTCAAGGTCGAGTATTGCTATGTCAGAATGACACTTAAAATGAGTGCGCCGTTTGAGGCCTGGGTGAATTGGTGAATTGCGGTACGTTTTTTTTAATTAAATGTATGTAAGGAGAGGTTGGTGCCAATGTCTGGCGCCGGCTACTCCTCTTCTCTTGCACAAAAGTCAACATTGCACATTTTGTAGCAAACACAAGGCTATACACATGTACATAGCACAACACTTACACAATGAATTCACGTTTTTCAACACTGAGTGTCCACACCACACAGAAATGGGTCCACACTGCATAGAAATGTTGCTTTGGCTTTACATCTGACATGCAATTGAAGGCTATTTAGGCGGTACCCTTTATTTATATATACTTATTCTCATATACGTGAAAAGAATACATGGAAGGCAGAATAACTTAGAGTTGGTTCTGCCACTATTATGGCAGTAATATAAAACAACGAACAAAACAAAAAGAATAAAAATAACAAAAATAAATAAAATAATCAGAAGCATGTACAGCACAACTAGATTCAAACGCGACGTCATATTTTTCTTTCTTCAACGACAGCTATGAACGCTTTCGAGATAACTACGTCACATAGCACTTGTGTGTATTAGCCCTGTCCCGTCCTCGTCAGTTCAGTGCCGCGCCTAACTTTATGACCACGTTACATCAACAAGGCCAAAGCCACCCTTGAAAGTGTATGCGTTACTTAGCCCTGAGGCGTCCCGTTTAAAGGGACACGAAAGGCTACTACTTGGTCGACGTCGGTTGTTGAAATAGCGGTCCAGAAACCTCGTAGTGTTAACTTTCTGCCAAGGAAGGGCACATTTTACCACGTTTTAGTGGCCCGCGCTGGGTTAGCGCACTTCAAATTACCCCCTTCGAGAAGGGGATCGACTCACGTCACTGTTGCCGTGCACAACGTTGCCCGGCTTTACTGCGCGATCGCCGACGCTAGCAGACAGAATGAAAGCAGCGGGAGCCACCGCAGCAACAACTGTCATTGACCAATTTCCTGCCACTGCCTCCGATAAGGCAGACGTGTTTTGGTTCAACTGCGGCCCGATAGATGGCACAAACTGTCGAGTTTAACCATGCAAAAGTTGAATTTCAGAAACACTTGCGCCCATTCCAATAGCAACGTCCGGCGGGTCCTTTTTGCATGAATAAAACAGAAACGAACAATTAGCGTTTTACTGCGTCCCTTGATGAACGGAAGGTTACTTATTTAAAGCAGCTAGATCGTATACTAGTGAATAATTGTAGGCAGTTCATTGGACGTCATCGGTACCATTTTGAGAATGCCCCACTGCGGCGCATATACCTTGTCTTGTGCATTTACCTTATTTATCGGTAAGTAGGGCACTGCTATTGATAATATTGTCATTTTAAACGTTGTCATACATTGAGGTTTCACTCTCACGTAAATTGAGTGTCCCTTTAAATCCACGACAAGTGCATGCATACAATCTCTGACGTATTAAGAATATCTCCGATGGTAGATTTGGATACCTACAGGATAGAGTTCGTACGGTAGTTTTGACGCAGTTTAGACCAACAATCATGCTTATCGTATTACTCACCATTCCTGGTGGATAATCTGATGTACCAGTGCGCCTGCTTCCCTATACGCGGCTAGAAGTGATGGTTTGGATTCCAAGGGCTGAAAAACAAGAAATGACGTGTGCCTAAATATGAATTCCGAACTAAATGTTCCTATTCAGAAATAAATGCATATGAAACTTCAATCAAAATCAAACTGCGAAACTTCACTTAGGTGCCTCTCTGCATGAATGTTGCTTCGTCATATTGGGCTTCTCAATTGATCAATCAATCAAAGGGGCAGCCATTCCGAAGAAATTGTGACTGTTTCTCCATTTATATTTATTTCAATGAAAATGCTTATACAATCAACCAACGAAGCTATTCAGGAAGCCGGTCAATATTTGGCTGCCAAATGTCACCTGAAGAGTTAAAAAACTTTACGAGACTCGAAGTTTTGGCAACCAAGCACATAATGCTGACTCCAAAGCAGTGCCTATAGATAGATACGCTTTCTAATTATACTACGACCCATCCATACAAGCATATCCACAAGCTGTAAACGATTCCTAGAAGAGAATGGTAATCATTGTGTACCTTCCTCTTTTCTTAATATGCGGTTCGTGGCGACTATTTTGTCCATGACTTTATTTCGACAGCTTCCGCATGTACTCTGCAAAAAAAGAAAAGAACAGCTCGCTACGAGCACTACTTCGGCTCGCTTTTGGAAGTGCTGCTTTCACAACTTGACGGTTTAGTTCGCTTCCGTATCGTTTAGTCTAGCTTGGTAAAGTATACTCGCACATTTCACGGGCTTTCGTCTTGTGCTTCTTGCATTAGGTTTTTCGCCCTTGGCTATGTATACAGCAATACGGGCACCGTGCCAAACGTCAAGCGAAGCGTTTCGTCTCGATGTCCTCTTAAGCAAAAGGCGGTACGCCTTCCTTTTTATATTTTTTATCTTGGCTCTTCATTGCGTGCCAACGACATATTTACCGACTCGACACAATCTTCGAAATCGAGAAGCGATGGTCGCTTTGCATCGAGGCCTACTAAATAAACGGATTAGGAACACGCATTACAACAAAAGCCTGCTAGTACAAATCACATAGCGCAGAAAATAGCTACGGTCTTTTTGCAGATATCGACATCTCAAATTACTGGCGCTCGTTTTTTTCTTCTTGGTCTTAATGTAAGCCACGCTTTTTAAATGAGTCTCCTTTGACTGTTTCTAGCGAGGCTAGTTAAAGAATCACACACGCAAGTGTTTGCTCCGGGGATTTTGAGAACCTCCGCAAGTTTGCTTTGTTCTGTTTGCTCCTGTGAAAGTCGTTTCGCTTTTTTTGTTAATATAAGAGGGTGGTTTTTTTTTTCAATGATTGGCGAACAAAAAACACTTACTGTATAATATTAACAATATAATCATAATAATACTAACAATATTATGTGGTGTTTTATGTTCCTAAACCACAATATGATTACGATACAGGCCGCAGTAGAGGGCATCCAATTTCTCACACTTATCCCGAATGGCATCATAAGATGTGATGATATACGCATATCACATAGCGGAAACAGAAACTAAGATGCCATGATATCAACCAAATAGCATAAATGGTGCGCCATCACACGGCATTACATTTATGCGACGAGGCGAATTAAGCTACGCTGTAGCAAAGTACGCTGCGGCACAACCAGCTCTCCAAAAACTGCGTGACACAACATCAATTTTCACAGTGCATCGGATCCTGACTAAATTCCTTATCTTGTGACCCCTGCGAGATTCATACTCTAGACCCGTGGCTTCTCAGCCCCAGAGCTTTCGGCGACCTTTTTGAGGACCACTTGAAGGGAGAGAAAAGTTGTGTCATAAATTAACGACACAGGCAGCAGGGAAATGGCTCCCGTTTATTTCTTCATGGCACATAATGGTCAAATTAAAGTACCGTGTCAGTTTAACCTCATCAGCTCGTCAATAAATTGTGCGGTGTGTACGACCAGTATCTAGCTGTGTCTTCTTTTTTGATCATGGGTTCTGCTGACCCCAAAAATGCCTTTGTGGGCCACATTCGAGAACCACAGACCTAGTCATTGCAAGCAGTGTCATTATGCGACATTTTGCGACATTCGTGCAACAAACTACCTGCGGCATAGCAGTAAATTTAGAAGCACTTTTTCCTAACATAGTTCCTGATCAACCCCTTACAATGTTTCGTAGCGTAAGCTGCGCATTGGCCCGGATTGGGCAGTTTCACGTGGCTTATCGAGAGCCATCCTGCGCAAGTCTGAGGAGCAGTGACGTCATACGGCGCACACCTGACACATCGGAGAAGGCCTGAAACATCCTAGAGTAACGGGTCACGAGTGACTCACATGAACTCGCTGGCTCATATACATTCATCCAACCGTCCGTAGCCTATGCTACCCATGTCTAGGCATAGCCGAGCTAAGCTACTGCTATTTTTTTTAAATGCGAAGCAGCACTTTGACTCACGTGTCTAACATCATACGTACGTGCGTCCGTACGAACGCCCCGCAACGCGTTCCCTTCGCCGCACATGTTTGAGTGGGGCCAAGTAGGTCACACCGCAGCTGCGCGTTGACGACACCCTCCCCGTGCACGGTTCCTTCGCAGGCGCGCACTTATGTCCGTCTCTCTCTCATCCATAGCACGCTCACCGCAGCGCCCGCACCTGCCGGCTACTCCGCCCACTTGCAACACAGTTGTTACTCGCTTCACTCTCTCCAGTGCCCGCAACACTTGACCACAGGTCGAGTGGAAACACTCTTTTGGCTGGCTTATCTGTGATGAACGTTTAAACGAAACCAACCAGCCTCCCGTGTCTTTGCGTATCAAAGAAACGTTTACTCGAGTAAATGCTACACCAAGTCTCGCTTGAAACCGTTGTCCCAGAAACCGCGTCGACGCCGTTTCAACTAAGTCAACGCCATGTGCACTACTGCTGCTTCGCATATCCCATCAGGGTTCCCTTCGGGTGAAATGGCCCATATTTTTTTTCAGTCACATCTTGCTACGGATGGCCATCAACAGAAATAAATAAAACATCTTTCGGACCTTTTTATGGACAACAATGAACAGAACAAAAAAAATTAACACCATCTCTCTAAAGGAAACCCTGATTGGATGTGAAGCAGCAGCGTTGCGCACGGGTGGCGTCATGGGTTAAACGGTGCTAACGCGGGTGCTGCGGTGAGCGCTGGAAGATTTGTTTACTCGAGTAAACATTTGTTTGAAACGCAAGGACACGGGACGCAGGTTGGGTTTCGTGTAAGTTGAGGCAGCTGAGGAGCTCGGCATCTGAGCCCCCACGTGGGAGCGGCCCGCGACACAGCGATCTGTGTTTTGGAGGACCCAATAAAATTTTATCCAATCTAATTATCACAGATAAACGAGCCCTACGTGCAGTTGAGCGTCGCGGGCGGTGGAGAGGGTGAAGTGAGAGAAGTTTGTTGCGAGTGGGCAGAGGGACCAGCAGCTGCCGCGGGTGAAGGAGAGAGTGACGTCAATGCTCAGCTGCGACTTGATCTACTTGGCACCACTCCAACGCCTGTAGTGAGGGGGTTTGTGCGGACGTACAGGACAGCGTTACACAGGCTTGTCAAAGAGCTGCTTCGCATCTAAAACATTCTTCCCGACCACGAGTAGAAATGGTGGAGACGATGCAACGGTGGCGTGAAACTACCATACCTCGTAATAGCGTTGCTCTGACACTTAATGGCTGACCCATGTTACTTGTTCAAGCCTATCAGAGGACTACATTTTTAGAAGTCGAAGGAAAAATTTTAGAATTCGAATTTCCAAAAAAATGAGAAAAATAGTCATCGCTGTGGTATACTGGCTATGATCTTTGGCTGCTGACCCAAAAGTCCTGGGTTGATCCCGACCATGGCATTCGTTTTTTGCTAGCACCAAAATTCTACACGCCCACGTACTTAAATTTAGGAGCGCGTCAAAGAAGCCCCCGGCTGGTCGAAATGCCCGTATTCCTTCATTACGGCGTGCCTGCCTTCCATATCGTGGTTTTAGCCGGTAAAACTCCAGAAATTATCATTAGCAAAGCAGAAAAGTCTAATACGGGAAATATGTTACGTAATGAGCAAAACGAATAGCAGCACGCAAGCTTTATATTAGACCATTGTGAGAATAGAGAGCCAACAGAAGTCGACCTTAGCCAACACTATCATCAGTCAACTGTGCAGGTATAACTCAATTTTCACTCGGAATTTCTTTCTTATACTTTTGGTTACCGAAAAGCAGCTTGAGAAAATTCGGGTTTAGTTTGTATGATACTAAGGTATTCTGATTAATTAAAATGCGATTGCTAGAACTGCCATTTTCTTCTTGTAATTGCGGTGGATGCCCAAGAAATCACGAGTCACACGTTTTCTGAGCTTCACAAAAGTTGTGTGAACCTGGGAACGAACAAACTTATTATGGACTTGTCAAAGCATTTGCTGCTTCAGGAAAATTTTTCTTTCATCAAAAAGGATTGCCACCACGGCTGCTCTGTCGAAGCTGCTGTGAGCACATGATTATTACTTATCTTTCTAAATAATTTAGTTTTGCCGTATGGGAAGCTCCAAGAAAGATTTCCGCTTTAATCTCACATAATTCTGATCAGCCAAACTTGGAGCGATGGAGGCAGCCTCCAAAGCGCTGACGAATAATGCAGTGGACTCTAGCTCAGTGGAAAGCTGAAATAAGTCGATAGAAATTCTCAAAATACATTTGGTTCCTCTAAGAGTGGTTCACATTTAAAAACTGAATTTTTCGTGAGCTGTTTTTAGTCATTAAAAATTTCATGCGATAAAATATTTACTGTTGAGAAGGCCACCATCAACACAATAGTATTAAGCGTGTGTACTGGCGGACAAAAACGACGATAAGGGGATTTGGCGGGCACCAGGTAGTGAAGCTCTGGCTGATTAAAGACAAAAAAGGTGATCTTGCTGTTCAGCTGCTGAGAATCGCTGTGTCAACGTCTATCTGCCTTTTGTTCGCGTTGTACTGCGACACTGGTGGAGGTGCTGGGCCGCAACCCTGCCTAATACTCCATACTCTCGCTGGGAGCCGTTCATCTAGCCCGGACGTATTGCCAC